TGTCTGGCAAGGGTGTGAACACAACAAAACAAAAAAATAAAAAGACATATTTCAGAAAGACAGACTACATATATGGGGGATGGGAGTGGAGGTAGGGTGGGACGGAGAAGAATCAAGCACAAGGAACGGAAATATTCAGGGGCTCTAATTTTTCGTCCAAATTCTAGTTTCCTTTGTAGAGTAATGACTACGGTTTTTACTGGGCTGCGATCATGGAAAAAAAAAAACAAGAACAAAAAACTAGAAATTAGGCTTGATGACGGCGTTTATACTTTTCCAAAGAAAATGTTCATACTGTAAAATCGCTCAAGTCAAGGGAGGGCAGGTCTAAGCATCTTAACAGTCACGATCTGTAAACCCTTTAGAACTAGCAGAGAAGAGCAAAAGCAACTAATAATCAAACGCATTAAATGCACATCTGAATGTTTCCGAATGTTGGCGCTTAACAAAGGGGAGGCGGGCAGAGAGGATCCTTAGACTGCAGAGCGTAACGCCACCAACGGCCCGGGCTGTCCAGAATACCCCAGGGCCCGGCAGAGCTCTCCTCACAGCCTTCAGCAGAATTGTCGAAAGCGCCTAGAACTGGGGTACTGAGAACCGGGGAAGAGCATTTCTGAACGGGGAGCCAAAAACACATGGCACAGGAACTGCCGGAATCCGGGATGTTCGAAAGTACGCGTCCTACTCCAGCTTTTCGGACACTGACCTGGGAGCCACCGTGGCGCCCGCTCGGCCTTCGGTGCAAGTAACGTGCTGAGCCCACGGTGGAAGCCGAAGGAGACGGCCATCCAGCCCCACCGGCGACAAGGTACCCAAGAGTGCAGACCCACCCTCGCCATCTTCCCAACGGCCCCTGCGCCCCGCCCCGACCTACGGACACGCACAGCGCCCAGAAACTGAGCTTGCGCATGCACCGCCCTCTGGAAGACGCAACTTGGTAAACAGCGCCTGTCCGAGTTTCGACCCCCGGAGAGCGCACATGCGCAGAGCGCCGTCGCACGTCCCAACCTTTCGGGGTTGGGCTGTTCTGTCGGGGAGGTGCGGTCTGTGAGTTTGGGATGTTTTGAGCGCCCTCTGTAGGCTGCTTTCTCGGTGGGTAGATACCCCAGGACTGGAAGCGAGGAGAGGAACCCCACCCATCATTCCTAGATAGGAAACCATCTCATCGTCCCGATGACAGTAGGGAGCTGAAACATAAAGTGCTAGGCTTGCTGCGTTACAAGTAGTTCTCACCCCCTGACAGTTTTGACCTGTACCGGAAATGGTTTGAAGATCTGACCTTAATCCTGCTTGTATAAACGCCTGGAGTGGAATCGAACATTCGCCGCTCCTTCGCCCTTTTTCAGTTTGCTTTAGCTCTTTGTATGCCTGACTGTTGAAATACTCTGACCCCTGTCTCATACTATACGCAAAAATAAATTCCAGTAGATAAACGGTCTCAACAGAAGAATAAAACCGGAATAGTTCTGTTCACCCTGCTCCTAGAAATGATAAGAAAAAATATATAATTCCAATAAAATTGGCCAACAGCTGTGATAGGCAGTTCATATATGTAAACATGATGATCAACCTCACTAACTGAAAAATTGGAATTAAAAAAATAACCCTGGGCTTCCCTGGTGGCGCAGTGGTTGAGGGTCCGCCTGCCGATGCAGGGGACGCGGGTTCGTGACCTGGTCTGGGGGGATCCCATGTGCGGCGGAGCGGCTGGGCCCGTGGGCCATGGCCGCTGAGCCTGCGCATCCGGAGCCTGTGCTCCGCAACGGGAGAGGCCGCAGCGGTGAGAGGCCCGCGTACTGCAAAAAAAAATAATAATAAATAACCCATGCCATATTTCCTACCTATCAGATTGGCAAAAGTTAAAAAGAACAACTATTGTTCTTTTTAACTTTTTTCCGGCAAGGAAGCTGGGCAATGGGCACTCATGTATGGTTGGTGGGAGGGTATACTGACAAACTCTTTTTGTCAAGTAACCTGACCACCTATGGCAATTTAAAATATGCATCATTTTCAATGCCCTTTGACCCAATGGCCCCAATTTGTGGCTATCCTATAGAAAATACTAGTTTATAAGGATGGATATTATCTACTAGAGCACCATTTTTAGAGGCAAACAGAAGAAAAAAATGGAATGGCCAATTTAAAAAAATGGTTGAATAAACTGTGGTACAAGGCTTTCTGGATTCCTGCTCTGACACCCTTCAAAGCAATTCTTGGAGGCCTCAAGCATCAACAAGTAAGGACTAGTTTTTTGTTGTTGTTGTTTGTTTTCTATTTAAAAGTTACTGTAGCTGGTTTAATACTGGATACAGTGAATCCAGGCTATCTTTGGAGTCTTGAGAACCTGTCCTATTAGAACACACCAGAAAAGTTGGATAAATAAAAACTTAATAGATCTCTTTCTTGAGAGGTGCATTGCCAGAAACACCTGCTTGACAGCTGCTTGATTTAGCAACTTTCTCCAAAAGCTGCTGAGCTGTTTTGCTAGTTCTCCATTGAGCCTGTTGTAGACCCTAAAGAGACTAAAGTCACTAAGGTGATGCCCAATGCACATCACTTCAGCATCCTTTGTATCTTAACAATAAACACTTCTCCCTATGGTTCTGGATATTTGCAAATATTCCCAATCATTCCTGTCCCTGTTCTGTCCCTTTATTTTTGCAGGTCTTCTTTCATTTTATGTGCAGAAAAAAAAAAAATCTTACTTGTTCTCATAGTGGGAAAGGCACTGCACAAAAAAAGCAGGGAAACCCATGGACCATTTTCTCCATCCACCTTCATCAGTATAACAAATCAGGAAAAACTGTAGCTAGAGTCAAGTGAAGATGCTTTTACTGACAGCACTGGGCCTGAAGTAGACAAATTTGTTTCCGTTAACCTACTATCAATGTTGCCTTCATTGACAGGTGTGAAAGGACATACTGTAGAGGGTGGTTTCTTCCTCTGAAAGCTGCTGCCTTGTTCAGGGAAACAAATGATGTCCCCACCAAGTAAAGCCTTAGAGCTTTAACTTCATACCTGCATGATTTTTTCCCCATCAGAGAGAAGGATAGGTAAACACAGTCCTTCAATCCCCAGTAGTAATTGCATCTGTGCAATTAGACAAAAAGATGTCAGGTTTCTCAGGGGTTATCTCATTTTGTTAGCAAAAGGAATGTGTCCAGAGATATTTCTGATTACTTCAGTTTATAAACTACAAGTCATAATGTTAGCACACAACAACCTTTATGTCGATTCTACAATGGGCTTTTGCTGATTAATCCATCCCCTGTCATGTAACCAATGGGTGACTTCCTAATGAGAGATGAGTTTATTTTCAAATGTGAAATCTGGTCAATATTTTAATCCAAACTCAACATATTTTAACACACATATTGGAAAGGTTTACTATATCATGCAAGGCATAAAGTTGATTAGAATATCTTTACAATCCTATGAAGAAGGTAAAGTACAGTTCAGAAAAGTTATATCTTTACATTAACCAACAAAAGTTTGGCAATTGTATTTCACTCTCATTACAGGGTTTAGGGGTGACCTCTGAAAAAACAGATTATAAAAATGTCTTCTGCAATTGTGATTTTGTCCTTCACTGTTCAAGTAAAATCATGTGTCATCCAGTTGCAAAATCTTATTATTGGCAACATGTATACAAACCACTGCAAAAAAAAAAAAAAAAAAAATTGTACCCAGGCAGGCCTGACAAAGATTTTACAGACACTTCTACTAATCTAATCATTTCGCTTGTACTAGTAAGTAATGTCATTACTTTCTGCTTCTATTCTTTTGCCAATGTGTAGAAAGAGTACATTCATACTTACAAACGCACACAACATGACAAACCAGGATAAATGGCATTTGAAAATCATTATAAAAGGACTTTCCTGAAGTCATTTCATTCAACAAAAATTAATTTAACTCTAAAAAACAAAGGCTAATTGTAAAGAAAATACATAATAAAATAGTACATTACAGAGTACATTAAGTTGAACTTCATTTGCCTTTTAATGGAATCACAATACTTCTGTAAATAAGGATTTTAATTGGTCTGTTCTTTGGTGAAAACAGCTGTATTTCATAGTTGTGTCATGTGAGGCTGCAACAAAGAGAAATCAGCTAATATAAAGAAAATCAGCTACTGGTTGCCTTTATTCTCAGTACTGGGAATGGAGAAATCTTCATCAAAATATCTCCTAAGTATTCTCTTTATCTTAAATTGCCCAATGTGACAGAATGTCTAAGACTGCTTCTTCCGAAAACACACAGCTTTTTGTTCTTCTTTTACAAAGAGTAGTTTGCTATATATGTACAGTAGCTTATGCTGGTAGTGATTCTTCAAAGTCAACTTCTTGGGCACTTGTTGGCATCAAAGTACCATTTTAAAATGTAGAATAACACTAACTGCAGTTCATCACTTGAAACTACTACTGTTAAATAAAGGTGATATCAAGTCTTTGGTTTTGGTGTAGTACTTTAAAAGTAGGGCCAAACTCCTCGTACAATATATTCCCTTCCAAGCCCTTATTTGCTTATATTTATAAAATAACATTCAGCAAAATACTCCTTTTTCAAAAAAGCCAGTTGATTACCAGTAAAGTCAATGCCAGTGATCTGGGTGCTAAAATAGTTTCATATTTTCCAAGTACATATAGACATTTGTAAACGGTTTAGTTTATTTCACCAAAATCAACAATTGATAAAAAAGAATTTATAAGAAATGTTCCTATAAGTGATGCTATTTACGAAAATAGTGTCTTCTTTCTCCTAGGTGCTTCAATTCTTCGCTATTTATGATCAAGCTTTGAGTTATTTATGCTCAAGCTTTGAATTAAAATCCCTTCTTTCCCTTTTACAAATGACTTCCTGTTTATATGAAAACAGTTTTGAGTATCCATAGTTAAAGGGATGGGTCTGTTGGGTCTTTCCACCTGGTGTTGAATATGGCTTTATTCTTGTAAGAAATTATTGCAGTCTGCCCTGAAGTGGACTATTGCGTTAGTTCACTACAACAAGAAGTGAGTGTAACCTTCTGCCCCAGTAACTATAACATCCATCCAGATCCGCATGGCTTCTGGCGATGGGGCCACCATATAGTAGATTCTGTCATGCGTCTTGACGCTAAAGGTGAGTAATGGATTAGGACTCTAAAAAAAAAGGAAAAGAACATAAAACAAAATCTTGAAATTATAACATTAAATATAACACAGAGGTATGTGAAGGCTTCTATGTGGCTATTACTTCTGTTCTAATGTAACCTATTCCCTCGCCCTCAACACCTTTCTCAAGATTGACCATATTTCTGGCCTTTCTGCACAAGAACTCTCACAGTGAGCTCACCAATCATTTTAGCAGCTACTTGTAACGCTCCAGCAGGGTATCTAGCTGATAGTGAGTGCTCTAAAAATAGCTCAATAAATGTTATTCTTAGCCCTACTAAGATGTTTCCTTATGATCTTCCTCATAAGCAGGTAGTAGCTCCTTCTTAGAAGCCTAGCAAAGAGTTACTTGGCAGGGTCTCCCAAACCAAGATATCCAGAATATTTTCTCATTTTGTCATGATTTATTTTTTCACAAAAAGATCAGCTGCACTAATTACTTCCATGTTTACTTTTCCAACACCATTCTGATCACATCTACCCATTATGTCAGAATAACAAATCGAAATTAATTAGAATTCAAAAAATACCTTTCCCCCTACTTAATTATGCATTCAAATTGTAGCAATCTGAAATTCAATGTTTACCTTATTAGCATTTTTGAGGTGATCATAATATACTTCTTCAATGGCTTGAAAGTATATTACTCCTTTTAATTTAGCTTCATGCTTGTCTGCAATGGTAGATGAGTGTTAAAACAAATACTTTATCACCACTGATGGACAGGAAAAATTATAATTTCATTATAACTATCATCATTAAAATATTTATCTAGCATTTAAATTATCTAAGATTAATTAAGATAACCTAGGTTAGTACATTAGCCGCACTCTATCCTGAAAAAAGAAAAAAAAAAAGAAGGTTGGAATTAGCAACCCTAAACAAAAGAGACTAAGTGACTTTACTCAAGGCTCTTCACAAATTAGTAGTCAAAAGGTAACCCAGAATACTGACTGTCAGGTTAGCACACAAAGTGTAAACACCATTGACATCAAGATAAATTATTTCCCCACATTCTCCAAGACAGTAGTTGTAATGAAAATATTAATATGCAGCTCTGTTGCAATGAAATTTGTAACAAGTGTGTTTTTTGATTTCTAATTTAAAATAATATTCTACTTATGTTTCTTTCCTATCAAATTTCTTGTCTAGTATACTTGATATTTTATCCTGTTCTCAACGGAGTTTCATGTCAATAATTTAATGTCCTTTCGGTGCAGCGTTTTCCAAACCGCTTCCAAAGATTTCGTCAGATTTGCCATAAAAACCAAACAGAGCATAAAACAAAACAAAAACAACCAACCAAACCACCGACCAAACAGCATCACTCTGTGGTGACTAATAACACCAATATGTTTTTGAGACATTTTGTAATTTAAACTCTGCAGGGATGATAACACATGCAAGCACATTAAAGAATCTCAAAATTATGGATGAGGATACAGAGAAAGAGACTCTATCATACCCTGTTGGTGGAAATGCAAATGAGAAAGTCTCTTTTGGAAGTCAATTTGGTAAGACATACACAATGAAAAATGCCAGAATTCTTACTCAGCAATTCTGCTTCTAAAACTGTATCGTATAAGACCTGCTCATGCACATGCACGTGTATTTGGGTTCGTTAGAGCACAAGCTGCAAAAGATCTGCTGGAGCTTTAATAGGGAACTGATTTGATTCTAGACCAGCCATACACTGCAATCTACACAGCCACTGAAAAGACTGAGGTAAATCTGCCAAGTGCTCAAAGAGAAAAATCTTGAAATACTGTTATGTGAAGAAAGGTATGAACAGAGTGAATAATTTGGTCCTAACTGTATTAAAGAAGAAAGAGTACCTATGTAGACTGAAACATACATGAAAAGGAATGGAGAAAGTCTGAAAGGATATTTCAGGCTTAACAGTGTTAGAAAAGGTAGAACTTTTGTGATGGGAAGAGACTTACTTTCATTATATAGACTTAGCTCCTAGGGAAAGTCTGTTTTAATTAATACCATGTTCGGTGGGTTTCCACCAGTTTCTGTGAAAGAGAAGGTCAATGTGTCTCTCAAACATTTGGTGGAAAAGGTCCTGCAATAATGAATTCATGGGAAAACAATAATACTTTGTTTTTTGGAAACAGAGGTAAAATAAAATCTGGAGATAAAAGTAAACCTTGTCAGTGTTTCAAAGCAGGCAGAAAACTGGGGAAGAAAACTTTTGTTTGTAGGGCACTTCAGATATGAGAAAGAATCTGAAAAATATAAGCATAAGAATGAAATACAAATCCCAGAGAAAAGGAGCAGAAAAGAGTGAAGCTGTTTTGTCTGAGTTATTTTAAAATTTTATTTTTGGAAAATTCTGGCTGAGGTTGTCTTTGGAGACTAGCACGTGGGAAAGTTTTGTTTATGCATTTTGCAGACACTAAATTGGCATTTATTACATAGGCATCTTTTCTATTGTATTAACTAAAGAGACTGTCTCTGGATTCTTATAAAACCCAAGGTCAGAAAGCCCAAGAGAGGCAACCTGTGAGGGTTAGTAGACCATTTACTTCAGGCCACTCGCCCCTGTAGCAACTGGAACCCCACCCAAAGAGCCCCTAACCGAAAGGCATGCACCCCCTGCCCTTTCCTCACCCCGATTCTGGGGCTCCATTGCCAGTGTTTCCTTTCTTCCACATGCTTCTTGGTTGCTCACACCCCTATTTATAAACATATCCTGACCTCACACTACAGATTAAATGACTGGACTGTTATTTTTTTATTACCTTGATACACTTTGTAACAATTCCCAACAATGCTCATAAATGCTGATCCAGTCACCCCAAGGCAGGGTCTCTTCATAACCTCTAGTCTGATTCTACTCTTACTCAGCAGTTGAAAAGAGAGCAGAGCTATTCTTATGCTGCTAATGGACATATTTCATATGTGATCTACATGTAAATAAAGGGCTTCTTAATAAGTAAACCGGTTACACAAATACTCCTGTATTTATAGAAGATTCAGTAGGGTACGGTTCTCATAATCCATCATTTAAAGAATCCAAAAATATTCCAGTCACTTAATAAATACTTATTCACTAGTTCACTGATGAGCTTTACTCTCTGTGCTGAAATTGTCATTCTAGTATATAAACTACAGTTGAATGACTGGCAGTTATGCTGCCTAATTGTGTGTGACTTTAGAGCATATGACCATAGAGAAATAAATAGAAACCTTTTTTTTCTGATTTCATGGTTTAAAAGATAATATTTTGGTCTAAAAAATAAATTCCATTTAATATTTATTTGGGCTTGAGCTTATTTCAGAACTAGAATAGACTAACTCACACTTTTTAAATAACATAATTTTTATTATTTCTAGAGGAAATTCATATCAGGTGGACCATATAATCTGAATAGAAAATAATATACATCTATCAAGCTAATATTGCCATTAATTCTATTACTTACCACTCTAATTATTTATTCTGAATTTTATTGCCTTTTTTCTTTAACAGAGAATTCCTGATTTGAATATATTACTCAGATTTTTTTTTATCACCCACCTGCATAATAAGAGAAGGTGCGCTTGTTCCGATCAAAAACAAACCAACGTTTTTTCCAAGTTTTAATTTTTCCACCCATTTTGATGAGGAATCCTCTGCAGGTCTTCTCTGTGACTGACACATGATAACAGGTATCAATATTGTGGCCAGCAGTCTCCACGTGGCTGCGCAAATCAAAGTCTTCCTTCCGGATAGGCAGATAACGGGTCAGAGGTCGAGCCTGGAAAAGCACAAGCCCATCTCATCTATAGCTAATTATTTGTTTTCTTTTAGGTCACAGATGTTTAGAAGTGAAAGTGAACTGAAAAGCCTAAGTGTTAAAATGTCCATGTGATTATGAGAACTTAAGCTAAACATTGCCATTTGGAATCTAAAAGTGAATGGCATTTTAAGAAGGATGCTATGGTATGGGGGGGAAAATGTGGATAAACTCAGGCCAACAGATTCTATACCTTGAAATGGCCAGATGAGAAAATGGAAACATGTCATTTACCTTAGCTTTAACAGAGGTACTTAGCACTTAAAAACACACGGAAATAAGGCATGAAGTTATCTGGGCTGCTCCTTACAGATGAGGCCTCCTCCTCTGTAACGTATCCAGGAGTTCTCCCTGCCACAACTCAACAATAGTTCTCCTTAAATAACCACAGACATGACACAATTGACTGAACATTATTTAGTAAGTCCAGCCCCCAAGGATGTATGTACATGTCGGCTTGCATACACCCTGTGATAGAAATTGAAGGCAGAGATGTATGTTTTGAAAAGCAAAGCTAAAATAAGGTAAGAAGTGGAATCAAAGCTGTACCCAATGAACTGTCCAGGATGAGACACTGAAGAGATGTACATAAATGTCTTTTATTTTACTATGGCTGGAGTAGAGGTTCATCTAATCTAGGAAGCACATATTGCCACGGGTAGTATTTCTAAAATAGTCTTTTATTTATTTATTTTTATTATTATTATTTTTTTTTTTGCAGTACGCAGGCCTCTCACTGTTGTGGCCTCTCCCGTTGCGGAGCACAGGCTCCGGACGCGCAGGCTCAGCGGCCATGGCTCATGGGGCCAGCCGCTCCGCGACATGTGGGATCCTCCCGGACCGGGGCACGAACCCGTGTCCCCTGCATCGGCAGGCGGACTCTCAACCACCGCGCCACCAGGGAAGCCCAATAGTCTTTTATTTTATCCTGTTAAATAACCCCACCGCTTTGCCCTGGGGGAAAATAACCTAATCATACACTTGGAAGCAAAAGTTATAATTGGGATTAAAATAGAATTGTGCCTTTTGGTTTTGGCTTCAGATATAAAACAGGCATGGATGAACTTGACACTAAATCAAAATGTGACAGAGGTTTGGCATAATGAAATAAAATGAACAAGTTTTACTTTGTATTTTTCCTTTATTTTGCCTTTGATTCTGTGGCACTTTGACGTTAGACAGATGCCACAGATTTACTGAGCCCTCAAAGCACATGAAGCCTTAAGGCGAGTCTCCAACTTTGTACTTCAGACTGCCAGCAACTGTGAGGAATAAGGGAATTGGTACCTTTTACCATGAAGTCTAGTAAGCTTTGGTAATACTGATTTGAACTTTAAATTACATGGCACTTAAAATTTTATTTTAGTTTCTCAGAAAACATACATCATGTAAGCAGTTCTAGTGACAAGAACAGAGACTCCAACTCTACTGACTGAGATAGGAAGTCAGACGAAGTGGATGGTTTTCCTGAGTTTTGCTTGAGTTCAGGAATCCTGTGCACATGTGTGTGGACTGATGCAGCAAAGGGGAAACGTGTGACAACACAGTGGTTAGGAAAAAAAACCCCAAAACATGAACACCACCACCAAAAAACCGGGCTGGTAAAAGTATCCTGTTCTGGAGTGTTTGCTTCCAAAAGATGTCGTAATAGAATCTCTTCTCTTTCTCATCATAGTTTGGGTGTTGTATTTGTTTTCAGTAATGAATCCAGCTGCATTTTCAAAGCTGCTCAAGAAGACATTCTCCTTTTAAATATACTCCAAAAAAAATGGGTAGAAGAAAAAGTGCCTCTCCAATCAAAATGTGCCACATATAACTAAAGAAAAATATCATTTTGTTAGTAGCTCCCAGTGGGTTTTGAAATAAACACACATTTTTTCTGGCCCATTAATGCACATCTTTCTCTCAGCCATTACAGGTCAAGGGCTAATAGGCAGCACAACCAAAGGCATCCTCGGACATAGCATGACCGTCTTCTGAAAAATGACCACCAGGGGGCAACCTACTCCAATCCATCCAGATTGACCAACCAACCTGTGCCCTTTGTTTCTCCCTTATTTTTACTTCCTTTTCAATTAACTTCTGCCTCTGGCTGGTTTCTTCCTGCAATCGTTTTTCCAGGAGTTCTCGGCGTCGTTTTTCTTCTTCCAGAGCTCGTTTCTTGGCTTCCATTTCCCGTTCCTAAATATCATTATGCAGAAAAAATTTTCAGACATACTGGTTATACTTGAATGATTCCAATACGAACACAAATAATTCTCACTATACAATTCCTGATTTTATAGCCCAGTATATATCTAAGGCTAAAACACCTATAGTCACCATTCACAGAACTTTCAAAAGATCCTGTGCAGAAATGCAACCACTACATTTAATTAAAAATGAAATATTAAGTGAAACACAGCTTGTGACTCTATTCAGTCATTTCATACTAATGACCCCACATATTAAAAACTCTCCATTTTTAATACAAAAAAGGCTCACTAATTGTGACCCAACACCAGTCACGACTTTTGGCCTTTCTTTGATGGCTGTAGGTCCTTCCAATTCCTGTTGTTGCTCTGTGGCTTCCTGGCCTACGGTCACAGAGGAAGTGCCCAGGGAAGTTAGAAGAGGAAAGGAGGTGCCCTTTCAGGCAGGATGCAAAGGCATTTGGGGAATTCCTAAGGAAGTTCAGATTCTGGCTTGAAATACAGTCACAATAACATGGGAGTTTTAATATTACAATAGTGTCTTTACCACGAACTGGCAAGGCAGGGAGAATGCATAAAGACCTGCCATTCCTCCTGTTCCCCGGCAGGCAAACAAAGGCGCCATTGAAGGGAAAATGTAATACGAAAGCATTCATTTCAGTTTATGTCCACACAATATACATTTTACATTATGAAAAATGGTAGTGCAGTAAAGAGCCGTAGAGAACATCTCTCTAACACCCTCACTTTTCAGAAAACAAAATGGGGCCAGTGGGAATTCCCTGGCAGTCCAGTGGTTAGGACTCTGTGCTTTCACTGCTGAGGACCTGGGGTTCAATCCCTGGCCAGGGAACTAAGATCCCACAAGCCATGTGGCACGGCCCAAAAAAAAAGAAAATGAGGCCAAGAAAGGTGGAGTGACTACTCCAAGATCACGCTGCTTATTGAGGCCTGAAAACAGTTTCCCAGTGTCAAGTGCAGGGCATCTTGAACTACTACATGGAAGATATTAGGCCTACCCTGGATTCAAGAAGCCTTGTCTTCTCTGCATGAGCCTGCTTCAAAAGTCTCTCCATTTCTTCTATTCGGGCAATATTTGAAGTGCTGGCACTGAAGAAAACACAAAAGCCTTTCAAGAATACTGCTTCTTACTGATGTCTCTTCAAATACACACACACACACACACACACACACACACACACTCACACACACACACGACAAGATCCAATACAATGTAAAGGATGTTACTTACAAGAATCACTGGTCTGAAGAGGCAAGTCAATTTCAACTCTGAAAACTGTAGGTGAAACTTAACTTACCTCAGTTTTAAGCGATAAAACATAGGCCAGGAAAATAATACCAAATAAAGTGCTTTACTCATAAATAAACCAAAACCAACTCCTACAGACTGTGTTCTCAAAATGTTTCCTCCAAAGTCTAAAAATTTTGGCTTGCGGGAAGTCTTCCCGTTAGTTCAATTATTCAGAGATGCCAGACCAACAGCACTATCACCAAAGTTCTATGTAGATGACCCCTAAATTCGGAAGTCACTTTATTTGGTTTGGGATCATGTATCACCAGCTACTTTTTTGTTATGCCTTTTTGCTTGTGGACATTTTATTTCTTAAATGGTGATCTAAGATGGCCAATTAAAAAAATGAATTCTCTCACAGGTGCGATAGAAGGGTACTGGCCAGTTTTGCCAATAAAGCCCATCCACCGTACGAACGAGGAAACTGCATTAAGGGATTCAAGAGCTTCAAAAGTAATGCATCTTGAGAAAGACATCACATAAACACGTGAAGGAAAAAACCAAAGGGAGTAAAAGCTGCAACACCAGATAGGATAACTAAAAGAGAAGGAGAAGAACTTAGAAATGTTTAACATTAAACAAAATATATTATTTTCCCCTTGTTTACATTTTATTTGACTCTTCTGGAAAAAAAGGACCATGGCCTAAGTCAAAACTTATTTATTTTGATGTTCCAGCCATGGAGAACCAATGTTATTCCTTATGCATGTTTATTTGCATAGTCACTTAAATGTATCTTCTTTTCTAGACTCTCTTGGCTGTAGAGAGGCTTTTGTGCCTGTATCCTCCATAGCATAAAGCCTGGCACACAGTAGGGGTTCATGTTTGCTACACACATTCATATAAAAATTAATTCATATAAAAATGAATAAGATAATCATTAGTACAGTCTCCCTAAATCATATTGTTGATCAACTCAAACCGAGGATGTTTGAGGGCTAAGAGTTCTTTTGAAGAGAAACATGACCACAGTAATGTAGGACATATGGTTTATCTTAAAATCAGTACTGTGCACACATGTTTATAGCAGCTTTATTCATAAATGCCAAAACTTGGAAGCAACTAAGATATCCTTTAGTAGGTAAATGAATAAATAAACCATACTACATCCAGGCTATGGAATATTATTCAGTACTAAAGAGAAATGAGCTATCAAGCCATGGAAAGACATGGAGAAACTATACATGCATATTACTAAGTGAAAGAAGCCAATCTGAAAAGCTAAATACTTTATTACTCCAACTATATGACATTCTGGAAAAGACAAAACTATGGAGGCAGTAAAAAAAATTATATTTTATATACTTTAAAAGCTACTTTGGTTATTTTGTTAAAAAATAATTTTTATCCATGGACACCTACTTGTTCTCTATAGCTACACTTTTGCTATTGATTTAATATTTCCTTGACATGTAAACCACTTTTATTCAGCAAAATTTTTGCTGCTCTATGATACTGTGTTGCCACTACCTGATACTTTTGGGGGGATCATAACTGCACCTGCAGTGAAAAGCAAAAGCAATTGCTATAGAAATTTAGGGTGAAGACTTGTCAATACAATGGCATGGAACAAATGAAATGCCATTTGGCTAGCACCTGTCATGCCAAGGGAGATCCTGAAGTCACTGAAGATACACTTTGTAATGCATTACCTGTAGCACAAGACACTCATCATTGGTTTCTCCAGCCCACCTAAATTACAAGAGGAGCAATGCTTCCTCCCATTGCTCCAAATTCTGACCTTCCTCAGAAGGCAGGCCCATTTCTGATCTCATATGTAATTACTGTATGACACTGAATAATACTGAATCACTTGGTCATTAATGGTATAAAGATGACTAGTTTTGGGCTTCCCTGGTGGCGCAGTGGTTGGGAGTCCGCCTGCCGATGCAGGGGACGCGGGTTCATGCCCCGGTCCGGGAAGATCCCGCATGCCGTGGAGTGGCTGGGCCCATGAGCCGTGGCCGCTGAGCCTGCTCTGCAGCGGGAGAGGCCACAACAGAGAGAGGGCTGCATACCGCAAAAAAAAAAAAAAAAAAAGATGACTAGTTTTGCCTCCTTTCCCTACTTAGCCATATTCTATTTTATCAACTGAAGATTACTTTTTTTATGTGACCAACTTTGGTAAAAACCCATATTCATAAAGAAAAATGAAACTTCAGTCAAGGGTACAGGAATCTAAATAGCAGATTTAGTTTTCAGTGCTGAATAATACCTTTCAGCAAAATTTGAATTTGCTTTTTAGAATATTCACTTTAGGGGCAAAGGCAAAAACAGGAAAAGGAAGGAAAAAAAGCAAACAAGAACATTGTCATACAACAAACAAACAAGCAAAACGCAAAACAAAATTCTCCATAAAGACATAAAACTTTTCCAAGACTGCCTTCAGCATACCCATGTTGCCACTAAATGAAAAGCCAGTGTCCCAGAATATTTATTTTCAATTCATTATCTCAAGCATTTTTTTCAGGTTAAGCAAATTATTACTCCTTATAAAATGTCTAATCTTTCTCTATTCAAAAAGATTAGACTATCTGGTCTCTTTGACAGCTGTCTGCCCTCCTCTGAAATCCTCTGGTTTTCAGTATCTCTTCTGAAAGAATTCCCTAGAATAAAGTGCAAACACTGGGTGTTGACTATCTAGGGTAGAAAGCAGAATACAAACCTTTGCCTGAAACGAAGGGATTAGAAGTATCTGAAATTCTGGTTGATGTATCTCTTAAAACCAAGCTCAGCCTTGGATGCCCTCAACCCCATACCCAGTCTTGTCCCTGCTCCACACACACACTACTGGTGGGTAATAGCTATAATGAGAGATCAACTTCCTTAACATTTTCTCAAAGCATGAACGCAAGGTCAGGGCTTATTAGCAATAGTAATAAGAACATATAATTTTAGGTGGTATTCAGAACACTACACTCTATGAGCTCATTCAATAATTTTAGCAGAAAACAGACTTTATGAAGAATTGACCTTCAGCTGCTGTTTTCCATGACCCAAGACCTGTTTTCTTAGCTTTATATTTGTGTACAGTGTAAGTAATGATGTTGTAAAAGCAAAAACACTGTCTGACTCAAAGAACTTTCTGCTGGACACGAAAATGATGTCTCAACAAAAAGTGTAAGGCAAGGGTACCCACAACCCTGAGTAATTCAATAATTCTACCAATGGCTTTTTGTGACATAATAAACCACAAGACTAAGTTTGTGTTGCTAGAACTTCAGCATGGAATTACCTCTTTAAAATGTGTATAATTTCAGGATATTTTAATATATAATTTTTAAAAAATCTAAAAAAGAGACAAATTTTTAGTTCTTTCTTTTTCTACCTGTCTTCAAAAAGTTCCCATTTAGGATGTGCTGTCATACTATACATGCCAAACATTAGTTCCCTATTACCATTTTCTTGATGTTTATCACATTATTTTCCTTCATAAAAATAGGTACAAGCTTATCCTAGGGCAGCATGAATTTTTTTTAGGTAGCTGGCGGCACAGAAGAGAAATGCTTGTTTGCTTGTTTGTTTCTTTGTTTTTTCTCTCTCTGTCCCTTTTATTTATACTAGACCTTTTGTAGGCATCTTCTACTTTGGCTTCAATTTTTTGACATTCAGAGAATCTGACAGCATATTTAAATAAATACTATTAGTAATTTCTGACCATGGTGATTGGTTAGTTATCTATGACTGCTAGCAGCACTAGGTCAGTTCTCTGCAAAGTAACTATGGAAAATGATCATGGCCACATGTAGTTACCTTCCAGGAATGACCACTCTGCAATAATGCTATCCTCTTAATATGGCACATTTAGTGGAGTCAATTCTCATTTTCTACCTTTGGAAACCATTTAAAGAAAAAGTAAGTAGGTGAACAAATAAAATTAAATTAAGATTTTGGTGGCCACTGTGCTTAAGTCTCTAGACCTAAACTTCTAATGCTTGGTAAATCTAACTGAAGTGGCTCCCTTTAAGGTAATTTCCTGTACTTACTGCTGCACTGTGGCTGTTACCACCTTTAAATATGAGAGATGGGGTTTGAGGAGTGATCATTTGAAGGGATGCATATTTACTTTCAGTTTTTGGTGGGGATGAAGAGGCAGGGAGCAGAAAAAAGCCACCAAGATAGGAAAACTATAATACAGAGTGTATTTATTCATTAAAGACGGCTCAAAAATAGACAAAAAAAAAAAAAAGGTCAAGCCATCAGGAGTTCACCACAGGAATACTGCTTTAAAATGTTCACAATTATTTGGGAAAGTAGTCTGATGTTTTCAAAATAACACCTTGCAAAAGTGCAGAGTACCTAAGAAACCCGTCTGAGATCCCTATACTTGGAAATGAAATGGCTGCACCGTCAACTTTTATTCCTCCCATCATCATTATACAATAGTTGCCGAGTTGCTGACTTTTGTTTGTGTCCTGTTATTCAAAAGTGACACATTTAATTGGTCGGTTTACTGGCATTTATGAATAAGTACTCAAAGTTCTAGGCTTTCTGTCTTGAGAACATCAGCTGCCGGCACCCCTGCATGACTCTCTGACATCCTCCTGGGAGCAGCAGGTATTACGAGACTTCCTTCAGAGCAAGAGATGGATGGTTTGATGCCCAATTGTTCCACACGCTCAAGTGTCTTTCATTTTTTAAAAAGTGAGATACCGGGCTTCCCTGGTGGCACAGTGGTTGAGGGTCCGCCTGCACGGGTTCGTGCCCCGGTCCGGGAAGATCCCACATGCCGTGGAGCGGCTGGGCCCACAAGCCATGGCCGCTGAGCCTGCGCGTCCGGAGCCTGTGCTCCGCAACGGGAGAGGCCACAACGGTGAGAGGCCCGCGTGCCGCAAAAAAAAAAAAGTGAGATACCGTGTCTTCTAAAATTGAATGAAGTGAAATACTAACCCTTCTGACATTAAAAAATAATGGCAGCAAACAATTATCTTTATTCTTTATTATTATATAACTCCCTACTTAAATTTAAATTAAATTGTTTTCCCTTGTAACAAGGAGAAATACCTATAATTCTCACGGCTGCTTTAGTGTTTTTCCCAAGGGACTCCTTTCCTTCTCTGACAGGATATATCCAGTAATATCAATATTTCAAACATTATGATGCCAGAATTAAAATACACTATATTCTACTTACCACAAACTGTAGCATCTCTCCTTTTCTTCTTTTCTTCCACTCCCCAGATTTCCTGGCTATAACATCTGGTTAGACTGAGGTCTCTAACATTCTTTTCATTTATGAGACACTAACCCAAGGCTAAGTATACCTTGCTGATATTACTTTCCCTCTGTCTCTGTCACTCCTTTTTTGGGGGGCGGGGATGAGGAGCAAATGATTCAAACCTTTGTGAAGAAAGAAATTCTATATACACGATGGTAATTTTCCACCAAAATATTTTAAAATCCATCATCCTCTTGCATTCAAGAAACAATCCTCCACTTAGCAGATCAGCAAATCAGGACCTAGAGAGCTCTGTGATCTGCTTCCAGTAGCACAACAGTTGTCAGGTCGAGCCCCCAAAGCTTCTGTCCCAGGCTGTGACTTCATTGCAATAGAGGAAAGTTTTTTTGATGGCCATTATTCAACTAGACATTTTCACTTGAGACACACAATTGCTCAATGAACATTGATTAAATATTGGATGCTTTGGGGGTTGAACTCATAATGGTTCTCAGTCAATTGAAATAGATCAAACAAAGAAAAACATCAAATATCCCGAGGTATTTATTCAGCCGACACTTACTGAATGCCTACTATGTGCCCAGATCTCCGCTGAATGTGGAAACCAAAAGATAATTAGACATCTTCCTTGACACTGAGGAATGTACCAATTAATTATTGAAGAAAAAACTGTATGCTGCAATGTGATCAGTGATATAATAGGAAAAAGTATCAAGTTCCATGGAAACATGAAAGAAAAATGCCCTGAAAGGAGAAATTCTCATGAGTTTCCAACTTATATTTGAGCTTAAAGGATGAGAAGACTTTCTCCAGGCTAAAATGGGAGGGGTTGGGGGAAGGTAAAGACATTCTGCAATGCCAGACACTCTCAATGCTCAGTAAGTACAGGCTGAGGGAATAAACAAATGAGAGGATGAATTGACTCTAGATAGTGGTGTGCTGGTAAACAAGCTCTCTGGAGAAAAACAAAACCCCTGACATGCAGTAAATGTCTATTTATGTGGAGTAAATACTCCCACCATGGCCAATTTCAAGCTACCAACATGACATCACTGATCACAGAGTTAGGAGGAGTTGTGCACCTTTGGCTCTTGCCAGCCAGTTTGAGCCGACTTCAGCTCACTGTTAACTGTAGAATATTCTATAAGGATTTGTGGAATGAATGAGCATATAAATAAAAGAAAGAACAGAGTACATGATCCTAGGGCTAGAACCAATATGGTCAAAGGCACAGAGGTCTGAGAATTCTTCGCCCTCTCAATGAATAAGAAGCTCTGGGAAGTGTATCAGGAGGAGAGAATGAATGGGGAGTTGGGCTGGATCTAGAATGCCAGGCTCTGGGGTATGACTTTATTCAAAAGGTAGTAGGGCAGGGCTTCCCTGGTGGCTCAGCGGTTGAGAGTCCGCCTGCTGATGCAGGGGACACGGGTTCGTGCCCCGGTCCGGGAAGGTCCCACATGCCGTGGAGTGGCTGGGCCCGTGAGCCATGGCTGCTGAGCCTGCGTGTCCAGAGCCTGTGCTCTGCAATGGGAGAGGCCACAACAGTGAGAGGCCCGCGTACCGCAAAAAAAAAAAAAAAAAAGGTAGTAGGGCATCATCACAAGGTTTTTTTTTTTTTAAAAAAAATTAATTAATTAATATTTGGCTGTATTGGGTCTTCGTTGCTATGCGCGGGCTTTCTCTAGTTGTGGTGAGCAGAGGCTACTCTTCGTTGTGGTGCACGGATTTCTCACTGCGGTGGCTTCTCTTGTTGCAGAACATGGGCTCTAGGCACGTAGGCTTCAGTAATTGTGGTGCACAGGCTTAGCTGCTCCGCAGCATGTGGCATCTTCCCGGACCAGGGCTCGAACCCGTGTCCCTGGCATTGGCAGGCGGATTCTTAACCAGTGTGACACCAGGGAAGTCCCCATCACAAGCTTTTGAAGGAGCACTCTGACTAGATCCATATTTTAGATGCACCTTTGGCCATAATCCCCTAAGACCACCTTTGCTTGCCTCAAAGTATAAACACAATGTGAATGGTTAAATCCTTACAAAATTTTAATAGGCAGAACAGCTAATGCCTTCCTTTCAACAAAACATAAGGGTAAGATATCCTTCAAATTCTTACTCTGTTGTTGGAAATTACTTCTTTATTGAATCAAAAGTAGTCTTAATGAAGTTGGAGTCAACCAACAGAGGCAAATCCATTTTGAAGCGCAGTATACGCGTGAAGTCAAATGTAAAGAATAGAGTAAAGGAGAAAGTGGATTAGATGGTGTGTGACTGGCTTAGTCACACAGGATACAAAGAAACTACTTTCAAAGACCACCATGACACCCAACCCTCTTCTCTACTGTAGTCTTTATGTTTCAGAAATTTGGGCCTGTAACATATACATGGCCCCAAATTGATGGCTTTACTTTTTGAAACCGACAGGTGCTTTTCCAAACCAGAAACCTTCCCCAGGAATATATCTTACCTAGAGATATTGTCAGGTGAGCAGGCAGAGATGCTTGTCTCCATGCTGTCAGAGCTGTCTAGGCTCAGAGTATCAAAGGCCTGGTCCTTGTAGCTGTGATCTGGGTAGTGGAAACTGTTCAAGTAGACATTTGATTCAGATGCTGTGCGGCTGTAAAATTCAGAAGACTTCTGCCTTTGACCTTCACTCATCTGTTGGTGATTATATCCTAAGGAGAGAGCCATAAATACGTTGCCTCATTTTTTTCAGTCTTAGATCTTCTAAGGCTTAAACCAGGAACCCAAAACATCTGCCTATGAAACTGGGGCCTTGGTCTAATTTGTTTTGAAGCCAAGAAGATCAGAGAAATGGCATAATGCTCAGTGCAAGGAAGAGTTTCAAAGAAGTGGTCTTGTGAATGATCTTTTCTGTCAGCAGATCACTTGACACTTTCCTATGCCATTTCTACATCTCAGCACAACCGAGAATAATACATCAGCACACACACAAACACACACACACAACCAAAACAGAAACACATTTAAAGACCCTGAATCCTCTGATAATAGTTGGATTTGAGTGAAGCAAGATGACTCTAGTGACAAGCAACACCAGGGTTTTCGGGCAGTCACTTCCTCAGTGGTACCGCAATTTAAAGGGTACTGGATCTGGTCATAAAAATAGCAGGTGGATCATCTAGGTGCAGGATTTGAGAAACCTGTGTCTCACTCATATCACTAATACTTTTAATCTGGTTAATGTTCAAACTGACATTTTTCTCATTCTTTTTTTTCAAATTCCCTTGTCTGCCAATTACTTATTTAAAACACTCAGAATCAACAATCCTTCCAAATGGCTGTACTCCTCCTAATTAGTGTATATATAGCTCTCTTCTTTTTCTGTCTTAACAGTCAGCCTTCAGCTAGTTGGTGATATCAACCGTATGAAAATATCGGGATCACATCGACAGGAGCAAAAGTGCCACTAATAAGAGGGTTTTCCTTACCCTGGTACCTGGTCAGATGGCACATTAGGCCATTGGCTTGACTTTGTGTTATTCTATGGCTTTCTTCTGGTAGTTGATTTTGGGCATCACAAATCGAATTATTCTTCCTTTCAATTCTCTATTTAGCATGTATTCAGGAATCAGGGATCATAGTGATAAACAAATCCCTTAATTCATTAAAAAGATGTTTCTTTAACCAGTACCATAGTTTGCAATCACTTTCTCCCTGATCAAATTTATTTACCAGACCTATTAAGAGTTTACAGTTGGACCATCTGGATTTTCCCTGTTTTCTAGTACTTTACCTACCTTTCTATGAGGCTTTTAATTAGTAATGAAATGGCAAAAAGCAGGCCAGAGGGCAAAAGAAGGCAAGTAATTCCAAACAGCTTCCTCAGCTGTTAATTAAATATTTCCATTTAAAAACAGAAGCCACATCCATGATGCTTTAACAAAGCATTATAGACCAAAACTAAATCTATAAAATGATTTGAGTTCCATGAGGAGTTTGCATGCCATTAGTATTTAGAGCAGTTTTAGATATCTAAGTGAAAATATGTTAGTTCAGGTTAAGGCATTTCTGGGAAAATAAGTTTCCTTGATATAAGATATAATTATAAATTATAAATATACACATATGTAAAAACTATCACTTTGCTAAGGAAAGATGCAAAACATAAAAGCACACCATGAGACTTCAGAGAGAATATTATTAATTGTAATGATTAATGCATAAAGCATTACACAAAGCCAGTGCATTCATAAGCGTGGAGCTTGTGCCTTTATTTTTTTGTCTTGAGAATGACAAAATAAGTCATTACTCAAATATTTACCTTTGATACTTGAACTTTTGGAATTACTAACTGCTCCTGTTAAATCGTTTCCAATTATTCATTATGGAAAAAAAGGGGGACGATAAAAAAAAAAAAACATCAGAAATTATTTGAAAAGCTCACACACATATCTTTCCTTATACTTTCAAAAAAGGTTCATTGGCAAGGAAACCTTCACACTGGCACCAACGACATGGAAGATATTTCCTTGTTTTAGTATGAACAACACATCCCTAAAAGACAGCCCTGTCATTTCAAACATATAAGACTTATCTCCTTGGTGACGACAGGTGCCACAACCTCCCTTCCCTTCAGTTTTTCGTTATGAGGAAAAGCCAGGTCCTACAATGCAATTAACACTTTTTTGGAAAAGCAGAAAAGAGGGGGAACATATTTCTTCTTAAAAAAGCAACTGTATGCCCTGCTCCTCAGATGTTCCAGGATTTTTTTTTTTTCCCCAAAAGTACCACAGAATAAGAAAATGAACTTACCACCTTCAGGTGAGGCAGACAGTAAACTAAAATGGCTCCAAGTTTTCAGATGCAGCCATGAGGGAGAGCCGTGTTACAACGTGTGCTGTGCTAAGGACTGTGAACGCAAATTCCCTAGATCACCTCGCTATGTGTTTTATTTTTATTTTATTTCTTTGCTCTATGTCTGAGAAAACCTTGCATCACTCTGGTGGAAGGATAAGCACCTTGCATTTTCATGGCAACTTAAACAAAAAAGGTTGCTGCTAACAAGTAGCTTCCAAGGCAAGATCTTAGTCTCCTGTGGATCCAGTGTGAGTGGGAATGTCCATCTTATGCAGTCCCTTCTATCCCCGCAACCGGCAATATTTTACTGATCTCAATGAACTCAGCTGTCACCTGGCTTAGCCTCCTCCCTCCTGAACAATTCCAAAAAAACAAGTTACCCCTGCAATTACAATCGAGGGCATGGACCTCTCCCTGGTGACCCCAGAATTGCACCAGAGCTGGCTTTAGGATCCAGGCTCTGGCCTGGCCATTTAAAGGTACAGATACTTTCAACAGAAGGACACCATAGCAGCATAGGAGGTGGAAGGAGCGTTCCTGGTAGGAGGCCCAAGAAGAACTGCTGTGCATGAAGCAGGACCAGAACAGGTGTGAGCTGGATTAAGCCACTGCTCAAGTATAAGTTATCAGGGAGGGGGTCATATATGTCCTGTTCACCACAGAATCCCTGCTTGTTTAGCATTCAGATGTCACAAAATAAAGAGTCACTGAATGAATGCACTTGTTCAATAAATTCCAAAAAGAGTTTGTTCAGGTTTTTCCATAAGATGTTACTGAAAAACCCAAATGAACTTTTTGGCCAACCCAATATATTAGTGACTAAATAAGGAAGTGGAATGCATCTACTGTTTTGGGTGGGGCAAAGTAAGTGGACTGGAAAAAATGAGACTTCCCCAAATCCCTGAGACTGTTTGGTTTTTGTTTTTAAATTATGTAGCAAGAATAATATTCAGCAGTGGGACAGCGTCTGAAAAGTAAAAAGGGCCTTGTAAATGCTCTAAATCCTTCCTGTCCAGATAGAAATGGCTGTTTGAATGGGGTATTTTATAAAGTTTATAAAGTAAGACCTGATAATATCTGAGGCTGGTCGCTAAGCATAGCACATACCTGGAATCCAAATCAACTCAACTCTCTTCACTGCCCCGGAAGAGCCAATAGGTTGGACGTTCAAGGCCCATTTATTATTATTATTGTTATCGTTATTTTTAATGTCAGTCTCTATGAATTCTGGCTAATTGCACCTGAAGAGTGCTTTGTGAGTTAACCATTATGGGATATATAATCTTGCCAATATTTTCCAAATGTGTGTTATATACCTTAAAATGGTTATCTGGGCCTTAATACAGAAAATGAGATGACTTAAAATTATAACCTCGGTTTAAGAGGATAAAATTAATCAGTATTTCTGACAATTTCTCACCTGCTGAGACATTCATTCTTCCTAACCATAGTCCACAGCCAGAAGATGGAGGTGCAGGACAAGTCAGGAATGAGGAGAATGATGGAGAAAGGGAAAAAGATACAAGATCAAAAAGGATGACAAAGGGACTGGGAAAATAAATGTCTTCCAACATGCAGTCATTGACGGTGTTAGTAACAATACCAGCTTGACAAGGTAAGATATTCATATTTTTAGATTAAATTTGAGTTTATAGAGACAAACTCAAGAAGTTAACAAAACAAAAACAAGCTTCTGATACATGCACACAGTCAAAAATGATTTGTTACAGGAAAAAAAAAATCTTTCACACATGTTCAACTAGAAAACAGGGAGAATAAAAACAAGATTATATCTAAAAAACAATTCTTTTTTCCAAGAAGACATTAACAAATAGTTTTTAAGACTTAAGGTTTGTAAAATGCCATTCAATGATTTGAAGCGCAGTCCATCAAACTTTATAACAAGTCAGTCTTTTAATGCCCTGCATTTCTGTCTCCCAGCCACATAAGAATCATTTATTCTAGCCAGCAATTTAGGCTGTTCTTCACTCTTTACTAAGTCTCAAGGCTTAAATGGAATGAATAGGTAGGAGACTCCTAAATCCTTCCATCCTCTCACATAGCCTGCCACCTGCCTTATTTATACCTGGCCTTTATAAAGGGAAACATCTTAGCCTATACACATCACAAGGCCCACTCTTTTCTTTATCCAGATCCTGAGTCTTACAAAACGGTGCTTCCGAAGCACTCGTGTTTCCTGCATGGTCTGACCTTGCAATAAAAAATCAAAACAAAGAGGGTCATGCAGCTGCCGGTGAATGAACAGCAGCTGCATGCAGCATTGTGCTTCTAACAAATGTGCAACAATTTTCCTCTAATGTGTAAAAAGGAATAATCATTAGACTAAAAGTCCACCATTGTGCAGTTTTAAATCTGATCACTTCTTAAAGATGACAATGACCTTTCATTATTTGCTGGAAACAAAAACACCACACAGGGAGGTTGTCATACCTTTCTTGGACTTTCCTGCATTGAACAGAAGATAAAAGGATAAAGATTTCATTCATTCTAAAGCTTACAAAGGAATAGTTCACAAGTTGTACAAAAGCCAATAACCATTACAACTTTAGGATCTGAGTCCCTGGACTCTTTGCTTTAAACTCTGCTCTCAGAGATCTTTGTTTGCATGATTCACGCTGTCAGGTCTACTAAAAAAGTGCTTATTGAAGGAAGGCTTATACTTACACCATTGTCCTTGATGTATCCATTATGAATAAGCAGCAAAAAAATAGTTCATTTAAGTTAATTTGTGTAAGTCATAAAAATGATAAGATCTATTTAATTTGAGTTAATGAAAAATGTGCGAGGTCTGATTTTTTCAAAACCATGGACTTTTACTTGGTGTTTGCTATTTTAATGGGGCCAACAAGTAGCAGTGAAACACAATTCCAAATGAAATTATGATTTACCCTTCCTGGTCCTTGTGCGCCACCTGTATGGGCTTAGTAGAAAATCCTGCCAATTTTATGGTCCAATTTTAGTAGAAAATCCTGCCAATTTTAAAAATTGCAGTCCCTGACCCTTCCTCCCCTGGGCAGGGAAGCCAAGGGTGGCAGGCTGGCCTCACAAGATACATCACATCTTCTTGGATCAGCACACATATGAGGTTTCTCTATTTCCTCAGAAGCTGTCTCATCATCACCACATGAAACTCTTTAAGAGGAGCACCACTCAGAGCTGCAGCAGGGAGAGACAGGCTGCAGACTTCTTGGATGTTCAAAAGACCCAACAGTGAAGAACAGGGGCACAAAAGACAGGTCAAAGACAATAGATTTTGTAGACGGTACCTAATGTGACCTAAGGGAACTGGCTCAGTTCTTCGTCATGGACGTAACATGGGGATTCCCATTATTTGGGGGGGAACACAGATGAGAAAAATAGAGATCAAACATCCCTCCAGTTTCACCATATTCTCACAAGAATCCTCTTACACAGTATTGTTTACAGGTTTGTTTGGTATAAAGGACTAGTTTTTCTTACTCTCTATCTTAAGGCAAAAACTTTCAACATAAAGTATGGGTGCTGTGGCCAGTCCAAACTTTGATGCCTTCAGCCAGTGGGAAAAATCCATTTAAAAAGAAGTCTATAAATATCACAGAGAAATGCATCAACAGAAAACAGACTTGACCCACAAGCGAACAGTGATTAATGAGAGCCAAAATATACTCATTTATGTTTATTATTTATATACCATAAGAGATATTTTTAGTTTATTAAGAAATTATGATAAGATAAAAGAGAAGTTCAATCAAATGTATTTTATTCAAAGGTTAACACTGTAAACCTCTCATATATTATAAACCACTTTTATGAACACCATAGCTTCTATTAATTCTTAAATCACTCTGGTAATGATATGAAATCCTCATTCAAGTGATATATATAGCTCACTTATCCACACACATATACACATTATGTATACCTGCATATACATACACCAATATATAAACATATTCTAATGGTACTAGTGATTATTCCCTGGTGACATTAGCAAAGAGGCCGAGCAGTCAGAATTGCCTCTAAGCTGGCTTAGAGGGAAGGGTTTCAATCCCACTAATGAACACATTGAGAGGCCAGACGCTCATCACTCTGTCAGCATCCCCATTCACATCCCGGGCATACATCCATCACTGCATTTACCACATTTTATTGAAAGCATCTGTTTTGTTTTTCTCTTCCTCATGAGACTCTAGGCATTTCAAGGGCAAAGATCATGTAATTTATTTGTATTTTTGCTGTCTAGCACCATGCCTGCTCAAAAGTTAGGGCCAATATAAGTTGACCTAAACTACCATGTTAACACAATAAATCTAATCTGCATGAGAAGCTCACCTCTGGAACTGCCTTACAGTATTTTCTTCTAGCCCCACAAGGACTACTTGAGAACCCCATTAGAAATGCAACATATTATTACAAAGAAACAGAACATGCTGAGAGTCCAAGTCTACCTGAAACCTAACAACCACACAGAATAAAAGCTCAACCCGGGCTTTCCTGGTGGCGCAGTGGTTGGGAGTCCACCTGCTGATGCAGGGGACGCGGGTTCGTGTCCTGGTGCGGGAAGATCCCACATGCCGCGGAGCGGCTAGGCCCGAGAGCCATGGCCGCTGAGCCTGCGTATCCGGAGCCTGTGCTCCGCAACGGGAGAGGCCACAACAGTGAGAGGCCCAAGTACCACAAAAAAAAAAAAAAAAGCTCAACCCACTTTAAAAGGCCTAAGGGAGGTCTGTCCTGGGCCACTAGTGCTCTGTGTCAGCTCATTGAGTCTTTAGCACGTGTTCAACAGGGTGGCTCAGCCACAAACCAGGCGAGTGATCTGACTTGGTTAAGTGCCTTGGTAATCTCTCAGGATCTCAGGGGTCTCTTTTTTCCTTCTCCCAATCAAATGGGAAGGTTAGTAATTCTCTGTGGGCCTTTCTGATTGGAGAAGTCTACTGAATTTATAAAATACAATGGTTATGTACCAGCCAAATGTGCATATAGGAAAACTTATCTCAGTACAACAATAAGGAAGTATACATATATATATCCCTCCCCTAAGTGGACACATTTAGAGTAAAGTTGACTGAGTCACTTTGCTGTACAGCAGAAATTAACACAACATTGTAAATCAACTATACTTCAATAAAATTTAAAAGAAAATAAAAAGAGTAAAGTTGAGGACTTAGGTTGATCCCCTCCCTAACGATCCCCAACTCTGTTTGGTCTCCCCCTCCCTGAGGAATTCTAATGCTTGACAAAGAACATGACACTGGGCTTAAAAGGTACCTACCTCTGAGCATCCTCCGAGATTCTGAGTCTTTGGTCATGGTTGCCAGCGAGTGGGGGAGCACACTGCCACAGCTGTTGCTCTGTCCCAGGGGCAGGTGGCCCTGTGAGAAACAGGAGGAGAAACTCAGGCAAACTGCAGGCCCAGTGGTCCTTCTGGACATGGTCACATCGCTGATTCCTAGCTCCTATCTAAGCGCAGAAGGCAGCAAAGGTAGGTCTTTGCACCCCGTGTGTTGATGCTAAATGGTAAAGGCCAGTCGCTGTCCCTCCCCAGGAGCTCCACAGCAGTCTCAACATCACAGCCATTTCTCCAGTGGCAGCAGTTCCAAAAGTGAAGATAGATAGGGGAAACACTGTCCAAAACCACCTTAGAGAACAACTCAAAGTCCTTCATGCGCGAGGAGCAGATGCAGGGACAAGAATGCATGCACATCATGCACAAGGACAGAGGAGATCCACACACGTTACAAGGGCACCAATTTCCATCTGCTCCAAGTGATCGAGTGGGCTGAAAACTGGAGACACCTAATATTAACCATCCTGGTGGTTTTAGCACACTTTCACAATAGCAAATTCCTTGGAACACCAGTTTATAAAATAGATGAAAACAAAGTGATTAAGGACAAGGGAAGGGCTCCAAAGTCTGTCCCACTCAAAACCTCCTTCTCACTTGCCCTTCCCCTCTTCCTGCCATGACCCCTCGGTAAGGCAGCGGAACAGGTGTGAGGGCAACTCAGGCATCAGACCACATGGATCCACATTCTAGCTTCAGGGCCGACCAGCTTCAGGTGACCAGGTGGACCAGTCACCTAGCTTCTTTCCACCTCAGTTTTATCCATGTATACAATGGGGATACTAATTAGTACCTCTACTACCTAGTGTTGTTGGGTTTTACAATGAAACAATCCACGTCAAAGGCTTAGCCCAGTGTCAGGCTCCAAGAAATGGTTCGATAAATATTTTTTGCCATTATTCCTGGAATCCAGAGCTTATGTCCTCCGATTTCCATATCTGGGATACAGCTACGGGAGTGTGTCACATAAGTGAAGGCTACTCACCACTTGTGTGGTGGTAGAAAAGACCCTGGACCAGGTGCTTTGGTCCCAGAGTGTATAGTTCCAAATGTCCTCTGAATAGGATAGAAAATGCAATTTAGTTATGACGTCTGCCCAACAAGCAAACTTAATGGTATATTATTTAGCATTTTCTTTAGGGGCCTTTGCATGTAAGTCAACATAAGGACAAAAAGACTCACTGAAGGTGAAGCCCGTGGTTCTCCCCGTGTCCTACCTTTGGGGCGGTGCTTCTCCCCATAGTAGCACTGCTGAAATGAGGGGATATGGAAGGTGTGGTTTTCTTTCGAGGCAAAGTGTCACTCAGATAGAGGCCTTCTTGGTGCTGTTTTTTCCTTTCTTCCAGACTTCTAAAATGCTTTAAATGCAAATGTAAAGCAGAATAGCAGAACTTGACTAACGGAAACAGGTCACTGAAGTAATTAAGAGGTATGCATTTACAAAGAAGCTTTGGAATTTTAACACAAAATTTTAAAAAATTATTCAACTTAGACTTGTATTCACTAAGAAAATTGGGCTAGCATTTGGTAAGGTACATAGACACTGGAAGAATTTATTACTGAACCTAGAAAAATTCAGAAAAATCCACCTGTCATTTCTGTAGTAGTGCCTGCTGCCGTGGGGCCTCAGGACAGCTTACAAATTATTATGATGGTTGCCATGTGGATGGCAGAACAGCCAGTGGACAAAGCAAGTAAGCAGTTTCTCCCTTTGTCTGTCTGGACAGTTCTGTGTGATGGCACAGATCCCAGTGTGAGGAGAATAAGAAAAGGGAGAAGGAAGAAATGAAGAGAAAGCATAAACAGGGAAGTGGGTTTAAAGTTAGAATCATATTTCAATCACATAAACACACTCCAAATCCACATGTTTCCATATAAGGCATCCTTCTAGACTGAAAAAAGATCTTGGCCAAGGGGCCTCTACAGCAATCCCTCACATTTAAAAAGCCTCCTGTTGACTATTTCATTTTTATTTTCAGATTCCTAAGGCAAGATTTTTGCCAACTCGAAACTTATCCAAATTTTTCTTGACCTCCCCCCAAATGTGTTCAATAGTAAATTTATTTCCTAATTAGAGGTTCTCTAGGTTTGATCATTTTTATACTGAACTCAGGCTTTTGAAATATGTAAAAATTAATGCAACTTTGGGTTATCAAACTTACTATCAATCTCCAAACACAGCAATCATGAAGAATATCTGCAATTTAACTTTACAATTATCTGTTTATACTAGATATTTATTAACCTAAAAGTAGTGAGGAGATACGGTCCTTTAACCAAAGGTAATAGATAGTAAAGTTAGCTGTAAGAAAGGTAAGGGCTGGGCATAGGAAACTAGAGCTCACCCACTTTGGGGGGGGCGGTGTGTCTATTGACTGACTCCTTAGGATCTTCTAGGGCCAAATTCACATAAGGATTTGATTATAGTGGAAAGGAGTCTCAAAATAGATTTTTTGAATACCCAAGCATGAGTATGCATAGAATGTATCAAAAGCAGGGCAACACTTTTGGAATAATAAATTATCTATTTTAAAAAGTGCAATAAAAAACTATTGTTCTATGGACCAAATGCACTGCTTGTGGTGTTACCCTGGACAAGCTACTTACCAATGCTGAGCCTCAGTTCCCTAAATATCAATATGGAGATAGTTCGTATTTCATGGGATTGTTAGAAGGAAGAAATGAGACATTTGTAAAATGTTGAGGAAATTTTGGCTCATAGCAGAGGAATGATGTCTATTATTATGGTTTCAATAATGTGTGAGGAAAATATTTTGTGTTGACTCAGAAACATTTTACACCATGGATTTTATGGAAATAATTATTATGGTTTTGAAAAATACCTGAAGTAAGTTGCAATATTTTGGTTGAATGGGAACTGAAGCATGAGGATGTGAAACTAGCTCAAACATATCAAAAGCCAGGAGAGGACAATCAAGGTCTCAAACTTTCTAACAATCCTCACACTCTTAGGCCATAATAAATGTCCTTAAAAAAAACAGGAGTATGCATCTTATCTTTTTAAAAATACCTTTGGAAGACCCTAGCACATATTCGGCAACCCACCTGCCACCTCTTTGTTAGGTTTTGAGTTTTTAAAAAGGGATCAGGGGAACTTCCCTGGTGGTCCAGTGGTTAACTTCGCCTTCCAATGCAGGGGGTGCAGGTTCGATCCCTGGTTGGGGAGCTAAGATCCCACATTCCCCACAGACAAAAAAACAAAACATAAAAGAGAAGCAATATTGTGACGAATTCAATAAAAACTTTAAAAATGGTCCACATCAAAAAACTCTTTAAAAAAGTAAATAAATAAAAAGGGATCAGGAAAAACAAAACAAACAAAACAACAACAAAAAATACCTTTGGAAAAGTTGAAGAAAAGATTTCACATCAGTTAAGTTTGTTGTTAAGGTGAAACTCTAAACACCAGCTCCTAATTACCTGCTGGTCCTGTTGCTGCTGCCTTCTGTGTTTCTTAGCTGGTAGAGGAGGTGGTGTGTCATTTAAATGAAAAGAATCGACAGATGTAGCCACGACTTCAGGCCAAGGGGCCGATGGAGGTTGAGTGATAGGATGAGGAGAAAGGGTGGAAGGAAACATAAATCCAGAACAGACAGGTGCTCTTTGCTTTAGAGGAGAAAGAAAAAATATATATGTGTCCGTATGAAATGAAAGAATAAGACAAAGAAATGAAATCGATAATCTGATTGTTTTGTGTTCTTATATGTTACTCAAGAAGGCATAAATGATGGGCAGTATCTTTCAATTTAGCCTCTTGTTAAGATCCCACACTGTGAGCAACTTGGATCCATAAGAGGTATTTTAATTTACTATTATTTACGCCTCCCCAGATGTTTTCAAGCAGCTTAATATTAAAAAGAAATCCATACCGCAAAACAAAATAGAAGACAAAATCAAACTGGAAAGGTGATTCAAACCAACAATTTTAGAAAGGCTTTTTGGTTTCTAAGAAAAGTAAGGTTGGGCTAAAGTGCTAAGATATATATATGTGTGTGTGTATTTATATATATGTATAGTTCATTTTTCTGAACTTATTTCTCCTAGTACTCTATACTATGTACCATATATTTCATGGTTTCTAGTATTATCATTGGTAGAGCACCACCCCCAAATCGATCTGTTTTTTTCATCTCACCATCACTCTTGGCCCTCTGGTCAACCAAACAAATATTTGTCTCACACACCCTTATTTTCAGTTAACCATGGGTTAATTCTTGACATGAGGAAAGCAGTGAATGAATGAAATGGCATGCCAACACACCTCTTTATTTTGTGGCTGGCTCGCCAGCACAGCTGTGGTAGGCCCAGTGGCAACAGCGTCAGCATCAACAGGGAACTGAGTGGAAGGGGAGAGATTCGTGGAATTGCCACATGGCTCATTAATTTCATTTACAATGATATAGCCCTAAAAGGAGGAATTCAGAAGTTAAACACAAGGAAAGCAAGAGCTGAGGCATGCGAGAGTATTAATGCTCCAGTACAATGGAGTTAGCTTAGAGCATCACAGCCAGATATCTGTGGTATTATCAGATGTTTCATTAAGGCAGTCATCAACTATTAAAATGGATTTATGGTGCTTAATCTTGAAAAATGATATTTCAAACATTAAAAGTAAATTTTCAGATAAAATCAAAATGACTTTATTATAAATAACCCAATACCTTTGATTTACATATCCATCCATATCGGCATTCATTCTGTTGACTGAATAGGTTGTCACTACACAGCATTTAAAATCATCACAAGCAAAAATAAATATGAGACATAAAATCAACAGTGCAATCACTCTCTAATTCAAGAGGCTTTTCCATAAATCTTTATTTTTAGATTTTCCCCTCTTCCTCTGTTACCTGACAAATCAGAGAGTGAATAAATGTAGACTAAAGGCTACTGGTTTTTGCACTAAGACATTTATAAAGCAGTAATTTATTCGGAATGGAATCTTGCTTTTAGGTGTCTCAACAAAACGAAAATGAAAAGGACACTGTTCTCTTGTGAGCCTTCCTTAGCAAGAGAAACGTGTATACACACGTGCATACACACACACACACAGATCCCTAAGATGAAGTTGCAGCTTGAGGCTGTTTCAATTTAAGGCAGCTTGCCCAACTCCCAACTCTACCCGTAGGACAGAGAATTTCCAGTTACTTTTAAATTCAATGATTCAATTCTGGCTTCAGCTTAGAGAAAATACCCATGAATTAAAGTTGATGAGAATCAAAACTCCTGAATTTACATTTGAGGAAAAGGCACTTGTAAATTACCATGGAAAGTAATTGTACAGACCATTCATGATTTTCACCACACCAATAAAACAGTATGAAAAAAAGAATAAAGGGTACAAATTAATATCTCTTTTATTTATTTATTTATTTATTTTTGCGTCACATGGGCCTCTCACTGTTGTGGCCTCTCCCGTTGCGGAGCACAGGCTCCGGACGCACAGGCTCAGTGGCCATGGCTCACGGGCCTAGGCGCTCCGCAGCATGTGGGATCTTCCCAGACCGGGGCATGAACCCGTGTCCCCTGCATCAGCTGGCGGACTCTCAACCACTGCGCCACAGGGAAGCCCACTATCTCTCTTTTAAAAGTAAATTGAGTTAAATTTAACACTTGGGTTCTTCTATTTGCCCATCAATCCTTTCAAACAGTGGCTCCAGGAAAGGCAAGATATTGCTATGTTGGTGAAACAAAAATTCCAGGCTGCCAGCAAGGTTTTCACTGAGAATTTATAATTCTGACAAAGTGGAGAAAGCCAGAGTTGACTGTTTATAAATTGGAGGTATCAAAATGCTGCTGAATTCAGTCTTGTACTTCAGAAAGGGGCAATTGATACTATGTAAAGTTTTATTAAGATTAAATTGAAGAAAGGAAGTTGACAACTAGGTTGTCAAATTTATTTTATCTTTGATAATGAATGACAGTGAAGAGTAACAACTTTGAGTTATTCTTTTGCTAAGTTGATAGCAGAATCTTTCAAAACCAAGGTTGGATTCTTTATATGAGTCATAACCATATATCCTAATTAATTGCTTCAAAAATGTATGTCATTTTCCAAAAGTGGGACTTGTTTAAAAGAGTTGGATATAAATTCATCACTCTTTAAAAAAAGAGACAGAATGAGAGTGAGAGAGAGAGAGAAAGAAGGAAAGAGGGAGAGAGAGAAAGAAAGGGAGAGGAAGGAAGGAAGGAAGGAAGGGAGGAAGGAAGGAAGGAAGGAGAAAATCAAAACATCTGAGCCAAGTCTATTTGACATGAAGGAGGACACACAGCCACTCAACAAACACAAGAGTTGCAGACACACCAATACAGTCAAAAAGGCAAATTGGATTTTGACAACAGGAGGGCTGCAGAGGATAAGAACAACTCTTGAATAGAAAGGGAAAGATTTTATTCTTCTAAGAGGTGAAGTGACCTTAGAGCTTACCTAATGCATTTGGAAGCCACAAGCCCTTCAAACTCAGTATGTCCAGAGTCAAACCACATTTCCCTCTCAAATCTATTCTTTCCCCAGTCTTCCCTATCTCAGTAACAGCTACTCACCATCAACCTCATTATTCAAACTGGAATAACGGTAGCATTCCTGACAATACCCTTAATTTACTTCATCCCCACATCCAATCTATCAACAAGAACTGTCAATTCTGTCTCCAAAGTATTTCTGCATCCAGCTAATTTTCTCCATCTCTCTTCATTTGTTCAAATCCAAGCCACCAGCACCTCCAGCCTATACTATTGCAATCACCACTATACTGGTTTCCCGGCATCTCCTCTTTATAATCCAGTAGAGCAGCCCAGAGTGAGCTTTAACAAATGGACCTCAAATAATGTCACTTCCCTGCTTAAAATCCCTCAGTGGCTTCCCATCCACATAAAATAAACCAAATTTCTTTAACATGATTCACAAGACCCAGCCCCTGCCCACCTCACTGACAAACCTTATTCCACTACACTCCATTCACAACCACTCTTTATGCAGTGAATCTACCGGATCTGTGTTCTAAATAACGGAGAGAAACTACGAAACTGAATGGTCTTAAAAAAGTTTTTTGGAAACATTTCACAAAATGCTTCCAAGGGACATATTATTCACTCCTATTATGTGATGAGCATTTACCTCACACACCTACACACACACACACACACACACACACACACACACACACACACACACTACTTTCTATGAAGGAATTCCTAACTCTGCTGTCTTTTTAAAGCAGTTTATAAATAAAGGGTTTTTTGTTATTATGAAAAATTTTATGCAGAAGCAAGCTTTTTCTTTAGCTTTTTGAAAAAAAATAAAACTATTTTCTTTCTCAGTCAGGGTTTTAATTTTCCAAATTAGAGTTAAAATATTTAACCATTATAGCAATGTAGCTCTAGAAAAAGATATTTGGGAAAGGGTGGCGGTGGGACCTGGGAAAAGATGGATGTTTGGGATAAAGAGAGTGTACAACTTAATGTAAACAGGATTTTCCGACTTAGGGGCAAAAATAGCATAGACAACATTGGGGGGAAAAGGAGATAGAGATGTTTGGGGGCATTTTCACGTTCTAGAAGACAGGAGAAAGAGAAGAAAGTAGGGAAGAGGGGAAACTGAGAAAGGAAAATGGAGGAAGGAAAGAAGAGAATTTAAGACTCGCTTTGGTCTGGATCCTAAATTTTTTGAAACTTCAAGTTAACCCACAATGTCACTGTTAAGCAAAGAATACACACACACACACACACACACACACACAGAGTGAATCTGCATTAGACACAAAGATAATCCCTGAAATTCTCAAAGCACAAATAACAAAAGGCAGGAAAACCATCAAAGCATTGAGTGCTTTCATAAGTCACTTCAGTTAGTGTTTTTCCTAGTCAGCTAATTGCATAAAACTGAGGCACATCTCCTGGAGTTCTAAGGTGATATGAGTAGACAAGAAAAATCACAGCTTACCTCTTTTAGAGTATTGGGGTTGACAGGAAACCCTTTGCCCCCAGAGAGGCTGGAGTATTTCTTTTCCAAATTACAAAGATTTTCCTTTTCCTGAAGGAACACAAAATCTATTAAACTGAGTCAACCTTGTATTTCCCTGATGACTAACGACTTACTGACTCTTCACATAACTTCTCTCGTGAAGTGTTTCAATTCCAGTCTTTTGTCTGTTTTTTAAAAATTTATTTATTGGTTGTTTATCTACTATTTTTGAGTTTGTAGGAGTTTTTAATGTATTCTGGATACAAGCCTTCTGTCATTTCCTCTTTAAGAAATCTCTGCTTACTCCAAGGCCATGAAGGTGTACTTGCACACCTGTATTTTCTAGAAACTTTTTCACCTTAATTTTTATGTTTAGGTCTATAATCTGTCTCAAATTAATTTATATGCATGGTGTGAGGATGAATGGTATTGAGATTCATTTTTTTCCATGTTTACCTAGTTGATCCAGCACCA